AGGGCTCCTCTAATCTAACTATGAAGAGCAATATACACCAGCCCCCTTTCCACAGCATCAAGAGTCACTTCACCTTGCAATAAGCCTCACTATCTTCCTAACCCTGCCTCCAGCCCTTTCCACCCAAAGCTTCTTGCACCCACCCCACAGGCAAAAACCCTTTGAATCATTCACAGCCACCAGGCTCCCTTTATATACCATGCCTAGTGGTCACATGGCTTCTCACTGGACTACAATTCCCAGATTCCTCAGAGAACTCAATATCCCAGCACACCTGCTCTTAAAGAAGGCAAGCTTCATCTATAGGGTGATGCCTTGCTAAAAAGAAAGCATTGATCTTTATATTAAGTGTGTTTGGTTACAGCATAGGTAACATGCAGTTTTAGATGTTTTCACAGCAGTTCCTTGCAAATCTGTCGAAAGTTTTCAAACTATCGTTACAATTCAAACAAGGTTAACTGAGCTTTTGTGCTCCTGGAGCGGACAGAGTACCCCAGAGTTACTAGAGATGAGAGCAGGGAAGTTGGCTGGAGTTGAGTTGGGTGGGGCTTTGAAAGTTCAAGCTTGATGTGAAAATGGGAACGCAGTTTCTTCTTCTTTCTGTTTCCCTGTAGTTTCAGAGAATATAGCAGGGTGGAAGGGATCTTGCCCCTCTAGGACAATCCCTTGTTTCATCACACTCAGCCCTTCAGCTGCCTGAGGCTGATGAAGAAGGAGAGAGCTCTTCTAGGCAAAGAGAAATGCTGGCTGCTGTCCAAGGGGGTGGTTTTAAACCAATATTGAAACTGCCTGCGTGGCCCCTAAAAGGACAGCACTGAGCTCTCTCCTGTATGAAAGGTGTGGGTACAGCTCCAGCCAAGTCCATGCATTTGTTACACTCATTAGCATCCTGCCTTCAATTAGTAAGTTCTAGGAAGGCTCCATCAAAGTCTACATGGGCATCTTCCTTCAAAATGCCTCCATCCCAATACAAAGCCTTTCTGTTCCTTGTGGTCGTGTCTGGTGGTCCCCTTAGAACAGGGGTTTTCAACCTTTTTTAAGGAGTGTACCCCCTCTGGTGGGTACCCCTCCAGGACTACCCCCTGGACTCGGGGGGGGGGTTTGCAATGGCTGGTCCAGAAGCTGGGGGGGGATCCCCCCAGCGGCCAGTCCGATGAGCGTGGGGAGGAGGTGCTGACGGCTGGCCAGATGCAAAGTGTGGCGGCATTAGTGCACTTCCCAAGTACCCCCACTTCTCTGCGCCACCTTCATGTACCCCCTGGGGCTTTCCCAAGTACCCCCAGGAGTACAAGTACCCCCGGTTGACAACCCCTGCCTTAAAGCTAGGCAGTGAGACCTTGCTCCTGACAGCAATTTAGGTGTCTAACTGGTTTTAATGGGAGCTGGGTGACTCGGTACTTCTGCAGCTTAAACCCTGAGGCCAGATATGCTGAGCCCCAGTGCAGTGCTTTAACCATTAGGCCACCCTTCCCCACGTAGGAAGGAAGTCAGTGGAAGTGAATGGAATGAGCTAAAGCACCGCCCTAATAGTTTGGAGGCTTTTACCAGTTGGCAACTCTCCCCCTCCGCCCCTTCCCTTTGGCCACCACTGCATGTACGTATATAAAGGCATAAGCCACAGAAAAGGAGGCAGAATTAGTTTATAGAGTGAAATCCCTAAATACACTGTAAGAGTCAAGCCCAGTCCATCCAGATGGGTCTACACTCCCTGGGAAACCAGTTACAGAGCTCAGGCTGGTGTTTCTTTATGTAAGACTGGATCTCTCTGTGTTTGTTTGCAGTCGTTCCTACCTCAGCCCCATGCAGAAAGTCAGTAAGTACAGCGCAGACTGGTGTTACTGCCAACAAATGCAGTGTCTTCCCCGCAAGCAGCGATCCAGTGCCCAGCAGAGACCCTCAAACACTGTAAGTCTCCAAGTGGGATTCGCTCTGACTGCGGTCATGGGCCAGGTCTAAGCTGCCTCCGCCGTTCCAGCCACCCCTATGGTGTTTCTACTGCATCTCTGCCCCTCCTTGCAGTGAACACTACAGATGGTTCCTATTCCACTTCAACCAGTTACAATCCAGGTGATCTGTCTGGTCCTGAGATCCAGGTCCTCAATGAAGCCTGGTCTGTGTTTTGTCACAGCCCAAAACATCCAAATGACCAGCACTGCACCTAGACTCCTGGCAGCCCCGAGCAAACTTGTAATATTGGGCCCCCCTTCACCAGAGATAATGATAATAAAAATCAGACAATGGGAGAAAAATACCATTTTAGGGCCCCCTTTCTGTCTGGGCCTTGGGCGGCCACCTGTGTCCAGCCCCGCAAATAACCATCACATTGGATGAGGTGTGAAGAAGTTTGAGGTGAGCTCAGAGAAGAGATCCCACAGGTTACAGAGAAGCAAAGTACATGCCCATCCCTGCAGACAAAGCCAGCACTGTTTTCCCTAAGAAAAACATGGAGCCTTGGAGGGGTTGGATTCATTTGTAGGGGAAAGGGAACTCTTGTTGCAGGGGAGCCCTGTGCAGGGATCTGTAGGGATCCAGGGATCCATAGGAATCCAGCCACCTCTGCTTCCAGAAGTCTGTATTCCCTGCATCTGTGGGATTGGTTGGTGGAACCCCGCCCCCGGGTGGGAAGATGCTGGGGCCTGTGTCCCCCTCCCCTGCAAAGAGACATGTTGTTCCCATTTTCTGCCTCTGATGCAGCAGATAGGGAATGTTTTTGGGGAGAGACCTGGTCTTCTCAACAGGGTTTTACAGTGTGTTTGATTCTTCTGATGCAGATCCCAGCCCACCAATATCCATTTCCTGCTCCTGGTCGGCCTGAAAGTCCCCATCTTCCTGTGCATGGCCTGCACAGTGGTCTGGGTGAGCAAGTGCTACAGAAGGAGAATTAGGGAGACAGCACAGGATAGACATGTTGAGAGCCTCCAACTTTCTCACGAGGGTGCGACACATTCAATCTAACTATGCTCAGCCTTCCCCCTGTGGAGCCAGATGTTTGTGTGAATGGGGACATCCTGGTCTATGGCCTCGATCAGAAACTCAGCTAACTACAGAAAGGAGCTGGCATGCATCGTGATGGCTATGGACAAGAAGCTATTCAGCATCAAGAGCTTCCCATCCAGTAACAAGCAGTTGTTTTGTTTGCCGTCACAGCCTCCACCCCAGCTCAGGACTGGACTGGGACCGGCAAAGGAGGCTGCAGCTGCCTGTGCATTCATGGTCCTGCATCAGTGCCTTCAGGGGCCACTGAGCACGGCTGAAGGTTTCAATGTATTCAAACACTACTTCAGAAGGACAAGACTAACCTCATCTTACAAGGGGAAAGGATGAACCCTGGGAGCTGCAGGAAACATAAGGTCCCAGAATTTACTGGGAAAGAGATTCATTTCTTTCCAGCAGTTTGATTTCACATCCTCCCATATGTATTGTACCTCTTTCTCCCCTAAATTAAACTCCTGAGAATGAATGAAGCATGCCAGAGACACAGGGCTGTGCAAAGGAGCCACCACCAGTGGTGAGGGATCAGCTCACTACCAATTTCTAAATGTGTCTTTTCAATAAAGCTCTCTCCTCACATCCTCCAGAGACAGAATTTCCTGGAGGGCTCAATGTGTGTTTGTCTGTTTGTCTGCAGATAGGTATCTAATCCTTTGCATTGACTGATACCAGGGAGAAAAATCCCTGTGGGCAAATTGTACTAGTTTGACAATTCACAGCTTTGCGAGTGTACTAAAGAGCCATGCAAAAATCTAGAACTCTTGATTGGTTCAGAAATGATAACTTTTATTAGACCAATTAGGAAATTGCCAAAAAAAATGATCTTTTTCTGCAAGCTTTTGGGCTCAAACATCCATCAGGCTCTGGGAAAATTAAAGATGGTAAAAGGTCCCCATAGGTAGGAAAACTTCATTTTTGCACAGAGGAACCTGGAGATGGAAATCTGTCCCTCAGGGTCCATGAGAGTGTCTTTGTGTGAGTTGTTCTGAGTTGTTCGTTGTTGTGTAGATCAGGTAGGATTCCTTCCCTGGAGGTGTCAGATGGCAAGCAGGGAGGTTAGAAATCTTTAGTGTTGTTCTGCAATGAAGTTTAAAATCCAAAATCAGCTAAAATGTGGCATCTTCCATGTTTCAGGGATGTACTTGGTCGCCGTGTTGGTCTGAAACCAAAAGAAATGCAAAGATCTAGACCTCTTGGTTCAGAAATGATATCTTGTATTAGACCAACTAGGAAATCACAAAAAAAAATCTTTTTCTGCAAGCTTTTGGTCTCAAACGCCCTTCATCAGCCAAGCGCTCAAGCTGAGTCCCATCCTCTATGGACTCAGAGCAGAGAGGTACCCCTGATACACACAAACACCCTGGGCATCATTCTAGTCCCTGGCTTTGATCTAAATGGTATCCCTTGCTGTCGGGGATGCTTCACATGATCATGCCCATATGCTTCTTATGGGAGAGTCAAATGAAGGGAGAGTGCCTGCTAGTATAATGCAGACACATGCACTCGGCTGCTATCCTCACACTTAGCTGTACCCAATTTCCAGAAGTCCAGCTGAGGCTACAGAGCGTTTGGGGAATGGTTGTGATTATACAGATGCCTTCACAGACAGACCAGCATCACAACTACACAGGAAGGGCTCCTCTTGTTACACTATCAAAAACTTCTGTAGCTTCAGAGGCGATGCAGAACTCAACTCCTCAAGACCCTACAGACCAAATTTCTCCATTGGACACTGGCAATCAGGTCTCATAGTAGAGATGATATCTTTGATTAGACCAAGATTTTTGCAAAAAAAAAAATTTTAATTGCAAGCTTTCAGGCACAAATACCTTTCTCCAGGCATTGGAGAAAAGATTGTAAAAGTTCTCCTGGGTAGAAATGAAAGTTCATATTTCCTAGGATTTCACAGAGGAGTCCATAGATGGAAAACTCCTCTGGGCAGACAGCTCATAGCTGGTGTGAAGCCCCTCACCTCCTGTGAGGATCTGTGATGATGCAAATTACCTTGAAACAAAGGCAGGCGCAGGATCTCAGGTTTCAGGTGCTCACCGTTGCTTCCTGCTTGGGAAAATATGAAGATTTCAGTTTTAAAAATCGGCTAAAATTCAATATCTTCCATGTGTCAGGTATCCAGGTTGTAGTTGTATTGGATATATTGGACACTGCCTTTTGCCATGACTGAATCAGACTTTGTTCCTCTAACTCTAAGCATTTTAACCCATTTCACTTCCAGTGCTGGGGAAAGAATTCAGGATTCCCACTCGATCACCAATATTGTACTGGTGGCTAGTAAATAGCTATGTAGTTCACTGGAAAATGTGTGTCAGATCGCCCCTGCAGCTCAAGAAACAAGGCTCTGCAGCAGGATGCTGAAGGCCCAGCGGTTTGAACTCTGTTTTTCACTTGTCTATACGGTGAGATTATGTGACTGAATGTATTGTCCACACTGCAGAGATCTCCCTGAGGTCGATTTTATCTTCTACAGTTAGAATAATGTGGACATCCTGTGTGAATCACCAAAACGCAGACATTTTTTTTTCAAAGGCACGAGTACACCACAACAGAGAGCCCTGCCTGTTAGTGAGTTTTAAAGAGGGATCAGATGAAACACAATCACAGACACACCACAGCCCCAGTCAGGAATAGTTTCAGCAGCGCGGTGCTTCCCCGACTCTCAGGCTGGCACTGTACCCCTTCTCCCTGGCTCTGCTGATCAAGACAATAGGATACAGTAAAAAATTAGGAAATCCCAGAGCAAAAACTACATTTAATGACAGTCAAAGTGGCAGCAGGACACATCCTGTCTCCACCACAAACCTGAAAACTATGCACAAAAGCAGAAATAGTAACAGTAGTAAAACACGAACTGGGATTTGAGCAATTCCTCCCCTTCTCTACAACACATGCCTGGGCTCCATAACACTTTCACTTTCCAGGCCACCACTTCCAGGTACCAGTTAGCAATCTTTTGCTTAGAAATGTCCATTCAAGCAGATTATTTTCTGTTTTGATTTTCCTAAAAGAAAACTCATAGCCTTTTTTGTTTCCCTATGAATAAATTGCTTTTTTGCTAAAACTCAATTCTCCAGAAAGAAAACTTTTAAAGATTTTCAACTGTAATCACAGGCAGAGTTAAAACTTGAGCTATGGTCAGTATTGGCCGGTTCATGTTTTGCCACTGTTACTTTTTCCAAGAACTCTGTTTTCTGCCAGGCAGGTTTGCTTCACAAGGCGGCAGGGAGTGACCCAAGAAGTGTCCAAGGCTGGACCTTTAAAAAATACTGGGGACATTTGTGTGTTTAAATGAAGCATTGTGCAAATCAACAGAAATAGCAGGGAAATCCTATTATTCCAGTGTGCCATTTTTCCACTGGACCCTAGGTTGTGTCATGTTTGCTTCACAAAGCAAAAAATCACCAACCAAACAAAAACACACAAAGGTTAAGGCAAAAGCCACTTCCCCTCCTTGCCCAGTGCTCAAGGAAATGACACAACAGAGAGACCAGGACCACATACATCACACAAACTAGTCAGTGAGCCTCAGAGTTGCACAGCAAAGACCTGAAGGAGAGGCAGTGGCTCAGTTCCTCAAAGACAGACAGAATAAAAGATCTTCCTGGGGAGAAAATCTGCTGAAATCAGTATCCCTCCGGCCTGCAGAGAGAAGCAGAGCAATGAGGATTTTCCTTATCCTGGCGTGGATGTCTTTTGCAGGTAAGACCAAAATGTGCTCTGCTTGGACCAAGAGAAACCCAGTTGGTGTTGCCTTTCTTCTGGGCAGAGCCGGCCAAACGGTGCCCTGGGCGAACTTGTATTTTGGTGACCCACCCAGGTCAGGAGGGAGGCTCCAAACTGGTGATTCGTGGCATTTTGCCTGCTTGCTTTGGGCACCTGCTTCCCTCCTATGGAGGGAGCTGAGTGGTTTATCCACGACAAAGTTTTTGCAGAGCATGGGTGGGTGGCAGACATTACTGCAGGTCGGTGCTTTACCCTGGTAGGTCCCCACACACTGCTGGATCCAGGAGGGGAGGATGGGAGAGTCCCAGGATCTCTCTCTCACTCACTCACTATGTTTTCTCGCTCAGCTTTTTTGGCAATGGCCTAGCAGGGATACAGGGGCCTCCAGCACCTGGTGTTCTGCAAACACATTTCTTCAGCAGGGCTGCTTGAAAGCCAGGCACCAGCTGGGCGTAACCAGGGGAAAGGACATTTGCTCCCTACAGAAAAGAGTCTGGTCCCTGGGTCAGGAATGGGAAGGGGAAGGAAAAAGTCCACTGGAGGGTGTCTCTGCCCTGGAGCTGGCAGTGCCTGGAGTTGCTGCCATCGCTGCAGCCAGCCCGGGGGCAGT